TTGTAATACGAATGGGTCGGCTCGACCGGGGAAGGACCACGCTCTCACAGAATACCAGCGTCAAATAGCAGCTTAATGCTGTTCTGTTTCGTATGGTGAGTGTAGAGATCCGGAGACCCTTTTTTACTGGAAACGGGGCATTCCATCTTAGTCCACACGGGTGACAACGCACCTGCATTTTGATTTGTAATCGAGGATAGATGTAGATGTCTATGGGCCATAGCGACCACTTACCAACAGGTGGACTGTGTGCTCGTTTGTCATCCTATCCTATAAATAAAAAAGGGCAGCTTCCTAATAACAACTTAAAATAATAAAAAAACTGTGGTTGCCAATCTACCTGCCAAACGTGGCAACGGGAGGGGCCAATGTTCAACAGTGGACTTTTATAGGCTGTAATAGATGGATGGATAGATTTCGTAAATACAGACACTTTAATTTTTTTTATGTGTGTATAGATACGGCTGCCTGAAGTCTTGTAGACTGGCTTCGTGTCATTACTTTGCAGTTTCTTATTTGCGTTGTTATTTTTTTTATTATATCCAAATGATACTAATACTATGGACGCTTATTGTCCATAATAATCAACTTAGTATTATTGTCTATATAACATCTATCGCATTGACAAACATCTATCGAAATGGACGATTTATATGACATCTCTATCGCATCTACTATGGTGAGTGTTCTGAGGAATTATTCGGATTAGTTCCAGCCGCCAAATTTCACGAACGCACATCGCGTCAAAATTTACGATACTATCCTCACCGTTTAGATGCTTGGCGGTCCAGCACAGTGCGTTTTACTATGAGTTTTCTTCCTTGTACAAATTTTCTGTGGAATTTTAGCCTTCTACAGAAACGAGCTTACTTATCTTCTAGAAAAGGCTTCAATTATAACTACTAAAAGCTTAACACCTTCAATTCCCCTGGTGTAGCGGTTGTTCATGGGTGGCGGTAGTCATTTACCATCAGGTGAATCGCATGCTCGTTTGGCTCTCTTAAAAAAAATCTAATATGAAACTATTATTATGTTACAGGAAATGTCCAACGCGCCAGGTGTTCATACGAGGTGGAAGGTCGCACTGCATTGACTCCTGCAACGCTGATACCATGTGCGGGGAAGTTAGAGTACCGGAATATCACTTAAATGTAAGTAGAGCTTTTAAACTCGTTAAAAGTGTCATTGCTGGGTCAATGGACGATCTGACGGCGGTTTCTTAATTAAAGTAATAAGTCATATGAGATAGTGATTGACTAAAATAGAGACGGGAACCTGGAATAGATAGATATGGGATTGTTTTAAGCCATCAAGCGCCATAAAAATCCCATGCAGTCGTATGCGCCCGGCAAATCCCGAGCGGTCGCATGCGACCACAATCACCCACAGCACTTAAAACTATTAAAACTTATATTTAGAGACTACTTTTCTATGAATAAGTTTAGTTTAGTTTTGCTGTGGTTGGGTGCGACCTCATGAGACCGCTACGGATTTGACGGAATATGGCCGCGGTCTCATGAGACCGCTTGGGGGTTGAGAGGTTAAAGCTAAATACCTACGTCTACCTTACCTTGCAGGTATACGGGCAGTTCATGTCTGATCTTTAATATCCTAAAAGATGTCCAGCAATAATATTGACAGATAACGATCACTTCTAATCATTTGGTAAAATAGGGGTTTTATGTTAATCAGTAGATTTATTGGGTTGAATGTTTGAACAGATAATGGTAAATTGATACAAGTGGTAAAATTATAAATTTGTAGAACCGACTTCAATATAAATAAATTGAGAACATCATCAATGTATTCGAAGTCGATTAAATACGCATTATTAAGGATATTTCAATTTTTTTTTATAGAAGAGGGGGGCAAACGAGCATGTGGCTCACCTGATGTTAAGTGACTACCGCCGCCCATGATCAACCGCAACACCAGGGGAATTGCAAGTGCGTTGCCGGCCCTTTAGAAAGGAGTAAGCTCTTTTCTTGAAGGTCCCCAGGTCGTATCGGTCCGGAAAAATCACCGGTGGTAAATTATTCCACAGAGAGGTTGTACGCGGAAGAAAACTCCTTTTGAAACGTACAGTGGTGGACCGCCAAGCATCCAGATGGTGTGGATGGTATCGGGACGTTTGCCGTGTAGTGCGTTCACGAAATTTGGCGGCTGGGATTAATCCGAACTATTCCTCAGAGCACTCCCCGTGATAGATGCGATAAAATAGGCAAAGAGATGCAACATCTCTTCGCAGCGCCAGTGAATCGAGCCGATCGGAAAGCACTCGGTCGTCGACGATTCGAGCCGCTCTGCGCTGGATGCGGTCAAGTGGAAGGAGCTCGTACTGGGGAGCCCCAGCCCAGAGATGGGAACATTATTCCATGAGCGGCCGAACCTGCGCCTTGTAAAGTTGCAGGCGGTGTGCCGGCATGAAATACTGTCCCGCTCTGCTGAGCACGCCAAGCTTTTTAGAGGCCAATTTGGCCTTCCCTTCCAAGTGACCACGAAACTGCACGTCACTCGATATGTCGACGCCGAGGATTCCGATACTGGCTGAGGCAACAAGGGGAGTGCCTTGAAACTGAGGGGATACGACAAAGGGGTTCTTTTTAGCGGTTAACGCGCCAACTTGTGTCTTCTGGGGGTTATACTGGACTAGATTTCCGACTAGATTTTAGAAGTCGCCCCCAATCCGAGACTCTGTCCAGCAGAGACTCGACTTTAGACACAAGTTTGTTCCCGAAAATATTGGCTCGGCCGGTGTAAAGAGCATCACCAGTGCTGTCGTCTGCATAGCAATGGATGTTACGGTTTTGCAACATATCATTGATATGCAGAAGAAACAGCGTTGGCGATAGCACGCAGCCCTGTGGAACACCAGCATTAATAAGCTTGCAATCGGAGCTTGCACCGTCTACAACGACCTTGATGCTCCGATCTGCAAGAAAACTGGTGATCCAATCGCACAATTTCTCGGGAAGCCCATAGGAAGGGAGCTTCGAAAGAAGCGCTTTGTGCCAAACCCGATCGAAGGCCTTCGCAATGTCCAAAATAACGGACTTCCCTTGGACTCTACTGCCTCCGCCCATCTGTGAGTTAGGTAGACCAGAAGATCACCAGCTGACCTACCACGGCGAAAACCGTATTGGCGGTCACTAATCAGCTGGTGATCCTCAAGGTACCTCATGAGCTGGCAGTTTACAATGGACTCCATTGTTTTGGAGAGCAAGGAGGTGATGGCGATAAGCCGGTAGTTGGACGGGTCTGAGCGGTCACCTTTTTTAGGGATCGGATGGACGAAAGCCGTCTTCCATGATTTTGGGACTACGCCTAGGGAGTAGGAGTACCGGAAAAGACGCGTTAAAACCGGTGCCAACTCTGGAGCACACGTCCTCAGCACAATTGGGGGGATTCCGTCAGGCCCAGTCGGTACCAACTCTGGAGCACACGTCCTCAGCACAATTGGGGGGATTCCGTCAGGCCCACTCGACTTATGGATGTCCAGGGAGAGGAGTGCTTCGCGAACCGAGCGCTGAGTGAACTGCACTTCCGGCATGGAGCACTCACACAGCGGGATGGTCGGCGGCGTACTCCCCCCGTCATCGAGAGTCGAGTTAGACGCAAAGAAAGAGCCTAGAAGATCGGCTTTCTCCTTTGCGGTGTGGGCCAGTGAGTCTTCCTCCCTGTGCAGAGATGGAAGAGATGGCTGACAGAAATTCCCCTGGACAGCCTTGGCGAGAGACCAGAATGCACGGGTTCCAGAAGGAAGACGAACTAGTCTCTCGCCAATTCTGCCTATGTGCTCTGACTTTGCCTTGGCAATGACTCTTTTGAAGAACCTAGAGGCGGAATTATACTTCTTTTTTAGAGCGCTGGTGTTTACATCCCTGGACGCTGATGCGTCAGCCCAGGCTCGGTAGCACTCCTGCTTATAGCATGATGCTATTTTACAGGAGCGACCAAACCATGGCTGAGATTTGCCTCCAATGGGCACCACAGAGGAAGGAATAAAAAGTTCCATACCCTGAAGTACCGCATCAGCGACAGAATCCGCAACAACGTTGGGATCGTCCGGCGAAAAGCAAACCCGCCCCCAAGGGTAGGATGCAAAGAAAGACCGTATCCCATCCCAATCGGCTGACCTATAGTGCCAAACACGGCGGCAGCCTGCAGAATGCAACCGCGATTTCAGCGTGAGTGGCACCACACTCCGGACAAGACAATGGTCCGAGGAGCCTAAAGGGGCGTCGACGGAAATCTGATATCCGTCCGGGTGAGAGGTCAGCAGAAGGTCCAACAGGGAAGGTGCATGATCCTCCACATCTGGAATCCGCGTAGGCGAAGTAGCCAGTTGTGTCAGACCATATGCCAAGGCAAAATCATGAACAGGTCTCCCCGCATGATCGGTTAAACGTGAACCGAGCCATTCGGCGTGATGGGCGTTAAAGTCGCCGAGGATCACGATCTCTGCGGAGGGGATCTGCTGTAGCAACGAATCTGCAGCCATTTGGACGTGGTCGAAGAGTCGGTCTGTTTCGGCATTACCGCTATGGGACCTATAGAGGCACCCGTAGACGCGCGGATGGTCGTCGCTGTCTACGCGTAGCCAAAGGATGGACAGGTCCGAACCTTCAAGTCTGCCGAGGCGTCGAGAACAGATGTCCTCTCTGACGTAAACGCAAACTCCAGCCCGAGGCACAAAGGAGTGAAATACTATAATACTACCAGTAGTTTCTGTTCTGTTTCTGTTCCAGATCTGATCATTCAGATCTTGATCAAATTGATATGGGACCACACGGGAAGCATATAAAAAAAGAATCATCAAAATTGGTTCATCCAGAAAATAGTTCTGTGGTAACATACATTTAAAAAAACACAGTCGAATTGAAACCTCCTTCTGGAAACCGGTTAAAAATAAAAATGATTATAGTATTGGATGTCTATAGTTTGGGATTGATATTTTTAATAATTAAATCTATATCTTGATCTCTCATATTTCTTTATTATTAGCCTCTTACTAAAACCCTTTTTTGATTTTTTTCCCTTGTTATAATATCTTCACTGGTTTTACCTAAATTATTATTTTCAAATTCATTTTCTGTATCAATTTCGCTAGAACTATACTTTTTGGATAATAATTCGTATTCATTATCTTTTTCCATATCGCTTAAATTAGTATCTGGTGCAAATTTTTTATCGTTTGATTTTAATTCAATAATGTTTTTGTCATCCTTCAAATCATCTGTAGCTCTATACTGAATACGACGGCTTTCTTCGTCCTTGATTTCGTTTACTATTCTTTTTAAATAGTTTCTTAAATCTAATTCGTAATTAGTGTCGCTTTCATCTTTTTGTAAATAGTTCTTATTATCATTATTTGATGAATCTTCTTCCGATGAATCTATAAGTTCGGTAGAAGGCTTAAAAAGTTCGGTTCGTTCACTGGTGGCTAAAATATCATTTTTTAAATAATTAGAGTTTTTAATTTTATTATTATCTTCGGTCTGTGTTTCTGTTTTTTCAAATATACTATAAAGATAATTCAATTTAGTTGAACCTGTTTCTTCTGTGTAAGTATACTTTAGCGTATCCGTTTCTAATGGATTTTCCGTCGAAATATTTATTTCCTTTATAGATTGTTCCATATCTATTTGAGGTCTTTCATAAGGCGATCCTAATGGTTTGTTATGTTTTTCCAATGAATACATTTCACTATCGGCACTTATTTCAAAATTTCCATTGTCTTCAATTGGAAATGTTTGTGAATTGTCTAAATATGGATTTAAATTACTAAGATAGTTTGTATTATATGAAGGGGGGAAGTCAAAGTTTTCCGCCTTCTTCCATTCAAATTTCGGTGTCTTCAAATTTTCTTGTTTAAGACCATATTCGTAACCGAAATCTTTTTCCTTCTTTGGTTTATTTAAATTGATATCTCGGTGTTTTCCTTTTAGAAATTGAATACTTCCTGTAGCCTGTTCTTCATCATTATTAGCAGAATCAAGATTACTATTACCTTTAATTATTTTAATATTTTCATCACTACTCGAAAATGAGTCTTTTGGTGGATAATGATACGTGTTCCATTCTCGATCTAAGACATTTTTTTCGTTTTGTTTATTGTCTGCTGAGATATTTGTTGGTTTGATAACGCTTGCTTCCGCAATGAACTGAGTTAGCTTATCAGCTTCTGAAGCTGAGACGAATTTTCTTGCTATATTTCTCACGTCTTCTATGTTTGCTGTTAGTAATACTACGGAGTATGCTGCATTTGTTATTATTAATAGAACACCTGGAAACAAATAATATAGATAAAGTTACAGTTGGATAATGTAAATGTAATGATAATATACCGTGTAGATGGAAGAATATACATCTCATATGGTCCCATGTTTGTCGTAATAGGTGACAGAGGGAAAGAAACCAGGAGATGGGCAGCAGCGTCTTTCTAATGACAACTAAAATTGGCGTACAATAAAGTGTCATACATCTCTATCTCTTTAAAAACTTAAAAACCAACTATGGCATATACCTCATGGGGGAATCCCCCTGTGTTAAGCTGTTGGGGATGCCTATGTTCAGCTGTGAACTTTTGTAAGACTGTAACGGTAATAATAATATTAGAAATGTTTAATATTTGCCTTTCCCTTATTGTTTTGAACCATTTTTTTTTTTGAAATTAATACCTAATGTACACAACACAGTAAGTGGCAATGGGCCGGCCGTATAACTCGAAGAACTGACAACCGATGGGAAAAAACGGTTCTCGAGTGGCAGCCTCGTACCGGTAGGCGTAGTGTAGGACGACCCCCCCCCCCACTAGATGAAGTGACGACCTGGTAAGACATGCAGGAAGTCGATGGATGCAGGTGGCTTAGGACCGTGCTTTGTGGCATTCCTTGTGGGAGGCCTATGTTCAGCAGTGGACTTGTGAAGGGCTGTATGATGATGATGATGATGATGGTGATGTACACAGCAATTTAACGCTCACCAGATGTCGATAGTTGGGAGTGAGGTGAACTTACTTGTTACACAATGTCGTTATCGGTTTCTGGAGTAATACACAAGTCTATGCCTCAGTAGTCCTTAATTAGCTCTTTGATTTTTTGCACATTTTAACTCTATTCTTAAATTTATCTACTTTTATGAATATCCGTAATTTAGTTAATCCATTTTTAATATAATTAATATAAAATAATATTTTGAAAAGAAACATTAACATTTACATTTTCCGAACATATTATACAGGCTAAAGTAGCCGCCTGTCAAATATTTCATCTCATTGCTAAAAGACGCCTCGCTGGTGGCAGAAAAAGTTGCAGATGGCTTAGGACCGTACTTTTTAGCAATCTTAGAAGGTCATTGTTCCGCTTGTGTTGGGCTGCAATGATAGTGTCTATCACATTGTATATCCCACTATGACATAACTTAATTTTTTTATAAGTCAATGTTGGCAAACGAGCCCACAGTCCACCTGATGTTAAATGGTAGCTACATTTACATCTTTTCTCGATTATGAATCCTAATGAATGAATGAATTACCTTACCCCCCCCCCCCCCGTAACCCTTTGGAATGATATCCGATTGAATGCCTCCTTTCCAGTAAAATGGGTCTCCGGTTCTCTGCACTCAGTGTACAAAACACAGCAGCATTACGCTGCTATTTTAAGCTGGTATTCAGTGATAGCGTGGTCCTTCCCCGGTCGAGCATTCGTGCTACAACTATACTACTAATATAGCAGCAGCATGGCTCTACCACGTTATCTGATATGAATAGCAAATAAATAAATCGATTTATTGTGTTTTATGTATTTTGTGCAGCGTCATAGTCATAAAACATACTAAAACATATTGTAACGATATTTCAAAGTATAATTTTTTTTGTATTTTGTTTTAGTACAAAAATAACTGTTTGTCCTTGCGAAATTTATGTATGTAAACTACCCCCACAATTTAGGAGAAAATCCTACTGTGGAAGTAACGTATTTTAAAAGAAAGACAAAAAAAGTTAATCGATATTATATATGACAATTATAAATATATCTCATTACATTGAAAAACATTGAGCTATTATGTACTACGTACTAGAGGCGACACTGCATTCAGCTACTATGTTCCATTCAACTGCGGTGCATACACCGCACTTTAATCAAGTCACTCGCTAGGTGCTTGTAGAGTTGACACGTGTTGTGTTGATTTAAAAAAATCTCATGATAAAAATATACCGTCGTGCGTACTTAGATATTGCACAAATAATTCAAGAAATGTCAGTAAGAAACAAGGAATTACTTTTCATTGGTTAATAAGATACTTAATCAATAAAAAAGTATTATAAAGTAGTAATAATACAAATTGTTCCTAACACGCCATCTCGCGTCACGTAATATAGATTATGAAATTAATTTGTTCAGATGCGACATTTCTGTGGGTACATAAGTATAGGAGGAATGTATTATTATACATATTTTTTGTAGAAACATATATGAGTTATCATAATAAGGCCAAATTTTTCATATTTTAATCCGCTAATTATTCTTATATTTTATTTTTAGGTTTCCATATCAAAGTCAAAGTGGAATAAATTTGTCAATTTTTAACTCTCGCGTGCCCAGTATTTATGAACGACTCTTATTCTAATTTAAATAAATATATTTGTAATTTAAATGTTTTATTAACAAGTTTTGTTAAACACACATTTAGTATGTTTTTTTATATTTGAGATAAATTTAATTTCATTAAAATGTAATTGTGATATAATATAATGTAATATTATATTAAATAAGCAAATATAATTTACAAAATAAGTGACAAAATTTAAAAAATTGTTCTCGATATAATTTACCTATTTAACAGTACAATCTATTATTAACTACTGATCATTCTACCTATGTTTATTCCACGATAAAAAACCAACCACGCGAACACAGAGTAGCGCACATTTTTTGTTTGAAATAGCTGTTCTAGTACGTAAGTACATATTACTTCAATGTTGAAAAAGGTGTTTTTAGTTGACTCAGCACGATGATAAATCAGCCATTTGTATCAAGTCATAATCAGTTAGTGCAGTGAAACAAGTGGTAAAAAATTCTACCACCTGGCTAATGTAGTGCAGTGAAACAAGTGGTAAAAAATTCTACCACCTGGCTAATGTAGTGCAGTGAAACAAGTGCTAAAAAATTCTATCACCTGGCTAATGTAGTGCAGTGAAACAAGTGGTAAAAAATTATACCACCTTTCTAATTTAGTGCAGTGAAACAAGTGGTAAAAAATTCTACCACCTGGCTAATGTAGTGCAGTGAAACAAGTGGTAAAAAATTCTACCACCTGGCTAATGTAGTGCAGTGAAACAAGTGGTAAAAAAATTCTACCACCTGGCTAATGTAGTGCAGTGAAACAAGTGGTAAAATTAAAAAAAAATATACAAGCGACCTCAATATAATTAAAATGAGAACATCATCAATGTATTCGAAGTCAGTTAAATACGCATTATCGAAGATTACTTAAAAACTACTGGTCAAATGGTCAAAACGCCTTTTGATCCTGTACCAATGTAGGCTTCGATAGAGTTTAAATCTAAATAAAATGAGTTCACCCAGAGAAAAGTTCCGAGGAGAGTAACACACATAAGAAAGAAATGTACGTTCGAATTGATTACCTCCTCCTTTTTTATACAATAAGTGTGACAAACGAGCACACAGTCCAACTGATGTTAAGAAGATGCTGTGGCCCATAGACATGTGTAATGGTTTGCATATTGCAAGTGGCGGGTCAAAGTCTACCCGACGGCAATATTACGTATATTGAAACAGAAACAGAAACTTTTTTATTCAATGTAGATTATAAACAATACTTATTGAAAGTCAATTTTTTCATTTACCACTGGTTCGCAAAAAAAAACCTCTGCCCTGGGAAGAACCAGCAAGAAACCCAGCGGGACTATTATTTTTCAAATAATAGCTTACAATCATGTTTACAATTAACAACACAACACAAATTAGAAATAGCTTGGTAGCGATCACCCTTCCCAGGGGTTATTATCATCCATAAATTCCTTAATATTCTAATAACCCTTTTTATACAAAATTAGTTTAATAAAAATTTTGAACTTTGCGTATGACAAATTTTGTATATTTTACATTGTATGATAATTTAGTTAATATTAGACCTTCGGATTTAGATGTTTCGAGATCTACTTGTGTCCGAAACACAGTATAATATTTTTTTTACCGAGGTTATGTAATGTTGAGTTAAATTAATTCTTCGATGTTTGCTCTTGTGGTACTTCTTTTTACTATTAACTAGTGATGTGCCCCGGCTTCGCATTGATATTTAGATTCTACAACAGCGCCACCTACCGAGTCCAACTATGCCTATAACCTTCGCGGAAGTTCAAGCAATATTTTGACAATGTTTTACCGCAATCTGATGAACGGTATGGCAGCACATGAATGACGAACAAACAAATATTAAGTTTTATATATTAGATATTTCGCATTTAAAACTATTGATCATTTTTTCCCTGAATTTTATATAAATTGAAAGATGCTGGCTATCTGTACAAATATGGTTTTGAATTAATTCTAAGATGGCTAAAAATAGTATTGTGAATATTTCATAATCTTTGACCTTCTTAACTGGTTATGCGTCGGATCAGTTTTCATTAAGACTGTGAAACGACACCTAGTAAAGGGTATATGCAGACTAGTGCGCAACGGGAGCAAATAATCGCTAAATGTGCGGCTCTGGAAAATAACTTCTATTGACTGAAACTAATTTTTACTGATTTTGTCGCTATTATTGGACTTTGTCAAACGCCTTTGAAGAGTCCACTTGGGCTGCTGCGATTATATTTACAAGCAGAAATTATCTTCGATGTAAAATACATTTCAATACCTAACACAACCTAGAACAACCTTGCATGAGTATTTGTTTATTTATTTATTTTATTCTTTATTGCATCCTTAAACAAAATAATACAAAGGGCGGACTTAATGCCTTGAGGCATTCTCTACCAGTCAACCCATGGAGTGGTGAGAATTTGATGTAGGTGTGGCAATATAGAATAAGGGAACACAATACAAATGATAATTAACTACATAATATATACAAACTACTAATAAATAAATGGATATACATACAAGTATACATATTTAAATACATACATAATTAGTATATACAAATGACTATGAATATGTAGGTCTGTTTGGCAATACATATTAAATAGATGAGTCATGTAAAATGCGTTGTCTTTAATAAATGATCACGGACCAACTTTTTAAAAGCGTACTTATTGGGAGCTTTTCTGATGTCATCGGGCAAGGAGTTCTAAAGGCGTGTAGCCTGAACTGTGAAGGACTTATCATAGATCTCGGTGAATTGAACTGGAGTACAGATTTTATTGTTAGAAGAAGAGCATAGGATCCTATCATGAGATGAGGAAAGATAGTGAAATTTACTCCTAAGATAAGAAGGCGAAGATGGATCATTTAATATGGAAAAAAAAGTACAAGTAATATTCTGGAGTTGCGCCTCTGCCGGATTGTAAGCCAATTTACCTTAGATCTGTATTGCGAAATATGATCATACTTACGAAGCCCAAAGATAAATCTTATACAATTATTGAGGAGGCGTTCCAGCTTGTTCAGAAGATCTTGGGACAGGTCTGGGTAACACACATCTGCATAATCAATTATGGGTTATATAAATGATGGACAAGCATGATCTTAGATTTTGTGGGAAGAAGATGTTTTAAACGATACAGAGAGCATAACGTGGCAGTGATTTTACGACTCACATCTGAAACCTGAGTTCTCCAATTCAGCGTGCTGCCGATGTGAAAGCCAAGATTTCTAACAGAATTACTAAATGGAATTGTAGTATTATCATAGTAAATAGGAGGTAAGTCTGTCAGATTAATCTTAGCCAGCATCCTTGAGCTACCCACCAGTACAGCTTGGCATTTCAAAGGATTGACCAAAACTCCATAACGAGTAGACCAATCCTTGATAGCTGCTAAGTTGCCGTTAAGGTTTTTGATCCCATCTTCATTGATCGAAGGATCCCATTATGGATATTCTCAATCTCAGTTTGCACATAAAGCTGAAGGTCATCGGCATACAAATGGTACGAGCAGTCGATGGTGGAGGTTAATAAAGTTTATAAAAATTGAAAACATTATAGGAGAAAGAATACCGCCTTGCGGCACACCAGCATCCACATCAGCCCAAGCAGAGGACAGTTGCCCCACACTGACTGACTGCTGTCGACCGCGAAGATAAGATGCAAACCAATCCAAGAGTATTGTTATATACTTATAATAATAGTCGTGCAAGAGCCGTAGTAGCTCAAAAAATTTGATAACAAACAGAGTTCTATCTCCGCCAGCACCATTTAAGAGAACCTTGAAAATGAATCAAAGTTTTGGGGGCGTGGCTTATTCCTTTGTCGGTGAAGCTCACGGGAGCTCAAGGGAGGGAGTGTCAAAATGAAAGTGATGCAATGACTTCATAGTATGCAAATTATGAGAGAAAAAAACTAAGTAATCGCCAAACAACTTTTTTTTAACAAAACTACTTAATGGATTAAAAAATGGTTTATGAGAACTTAGATATGATTATTAACTATGCCTTAAAAATAATTCCACGAACTTATTCGTAAAAGTATTGTGGTGTCATGGAGAAACGTAACTAATTAGAGCCTACTTTACAATTTTTTTCTATCGAGAACCGTTTATGATATCGTGTTTTCCTGTTATGCAATCCAAAATCATATAGTCAAAACACATATATTAAAATTTTGGTTTATAATCTATAAAACTTTAAAAAATATGTGAAATAGAAAAATCACCAAATTTTCTAGGTATCACCTTAAATTGTTAATTGCAGTTTTAAGTATTAATCTACCATGTGGTTGGCAGGGAAGGTAAACGTCACGAGGAGACCTGCTAAGCAATAAAAATATATGAGGACATGTAAAGACCGCAAACTCTCATTCGGGCTACACGAGCGTTTTTTCACTTGTCTCTTAATGCTTAAAACATCAAAAAGAGGAAACTATTGAATTTTTATATACATACAACTGTAGTAACTACAAACTTACAGTTCAATAACTACAACTGGTAGTAAATGGCTACGGTACGGTAGTGGTACGGATGGTCAGACGACGCATTATTAAAATAAGCTTCAAATAAAGAAGGCTAACGGAAGCGTTGTCTTCCTGAAGGATTAAGATGGAACGCTTCAAAGCCTGTAATTATACCTATCAGACCGGAACACAGTAGTGCAAGCACTGCTATGTGGCGTTGCACGTGGTGGAGCCACGCTGCAGCTATATTATAGTTGCAGCACGAATCGGTCAGCTTAACCGGGAAGACCACGCTCTTACAGAATACTAGCGTCAAATAGCAGGTCATTGCTGCTGTGTTTCGTATGGTGAGTGTAGAGAACCGGAGACCCTTTTTACTGGAAACGAGGCATTCCATCTTAGTCTTCAGGGGTAACAACGCATCTGCGTTATGATTCTTAAGCGAGGATAAATGTATATCTCTGTAGGCCACAGCATCCAATTACCATTAGGTAGACTGTGTGCTCGTTTGTCCCCCTTTTTCTATTAAAAAAATCTGCAAATAGACTTAACAATTAGATGAAATATTTGACAGGCGGCAGAAGTTAATCTTTTCGGAAGACGTAAATGTTAATGTTTCTTTTCATAATATTTCTTATATTATTTTATCTTAGTTCTCAGAGTTGGCAACGCATCTGCATTGTGATTCTTAATTGAGGATAGATGTAGATGTTTATAAGCCACAGCATCCACTTATCATCTGGTGGACTGTGTGCTCGTTAGTCACCCTTATTCAAAAAAAAAAGTAGGTAAGAAGGCGAACCACTACCCAGACAGGCCACCACTAGGCAGAAAAAAACGTCCTACACTATGTGATTTACTTCTTTTTTATAGTAGAAACTGTCAACGGAAACACAGCTTGTACATAACACAACGGATCGAACTTTGAATCGGGGGATGGTCAACTTTTGCGACACCCACAAGAAGTGAAAATCAATGTCTATTTTTAATTGTTCTTCACGATACTTATTATTTTGTTTCAATCTGGTGTTACACAACCCTTATGATGCTTAGTGAAATTTGAGTCTTCTATCATTTGATCTTTGTTAAAGTGGTGTTAGATGTTATTCATTACATTTATGGGAAAACCAATTAGTTTTCCCATAAATGTAATGAATATTAACACTATTGTACTAGCCGTTTTAAATTTATTGCAAATTAAGCTTATAACCCCTACCTCCCTGTGCTGGGTATACATATGTATCGGTTTCTATATAATACCGTTACCTTTACAGCCTAATGAAGTTCACTACTTAACATAGCCCCCCCCCCATAGATTGCTTCATGGGGGGATAGTTTGGCTACCGCAACTTGTTTTTTATTTGAAGTCGTTATTAGGAAAACGCTTCTGCCCAACTCCTGATTTTATTCCCTCTGTCGCGCCTTTTACGACACCCACAGGATGATATGGGGTCGTGGATATTCTTACGAGGCCACTATTCGGCATACTATATATTACATCACTATAATATAAACGCGGTGAAGCCAGATTAGATAGTATTATGGATATAAGTAAATTTTTACACATTTAATATTATATTGAGTGAAGAGAACCGGAGACACTTTTTCCGGAAACGAGGCATTGCATCTTAATACCCATGAGTGATAACGCATCTGCATTTTGATTCTTAATCGAAGACAGGTGTGAATTGATGTATATGGGCCTGTGCCTGTTTGTCACCCTTATACTGTTTAAAAAAAACATCGTCGTGTAAACAGAATGCTTCGAACATAGAACCGCCTATTCGCCTTTTTAAGTAAGTTAAAAATTACGTGTTGTGTTATAGGCAATTTCGTTTCCCTAAAATGTCACCGATTTAAAACTCAAAAGTAGCAGGACTCTTTTATTATTTTGGAAGGCGTCTGTGTAAGTCCTCCTACTTATATTGCGCATGCATCTACGTAAATATTTTCTAGAGAAACAGTATAACTACTGGCTAGTTTAGTCCTTTAGAAATAATCACAAAATCATATAAATGCAATATATGGGGTTATATAATGCATGTAAACCTTCTTGGTCTAGAGCTGTTTGTAGATACATGTTGGTTTCCAGGTGCCCTCAGGTGAACTACAAACATGTATGTCCCTCTAATGTCAATGAAAAATAAACAACAAAATTGAAAAATAACGCTGTTAAGCATTAATTTCATTTTTAAATATTGGTCCTTCACCACCCGGATACGCTAATAATTCTTAATTTTGTAACTTGTAATAAAGATTATAAAATCAACTGTGTTAAGTTTTTCATATATAAAAGTTTTTTTTTGGTGCTAAAATTATTTTACGTTATTTTAGTACTTACCAATTGTATGCGACTGACGAAATTTCCACATCTCTGTTACTACATGTTGTGAAATGCGAATTGAATGTCGTAAAAACTTTTCTATTTATTTTATTGTTTTATGTGTAAAATTGACATATTTTTATACTTTATTTTATACATTTTATCCGCGGTATATGAATCGTTACGGTAGGGTTTGAATAAATATTTATTATAGGTTAGGGTGACAAACGAGCACACAGTCCACCTGATGGTAAGTGATTGCTGTGGCACATAGCATCTACATCTATCCTTGATTACGAATCAAAATGCAGATGCGTTGTCACCCGTGAGCAATAAGATGGAATGTCTCGTTTCCAGTAAAAAGGGTCTCCGGTTCTCTACACTCACCATACGAAACACAGCAGCATTAAGCTGCTATTTTACGCTGGTATTCTGTGAAAGCGCGGTCCTACCCCGGTTGAGCTCACCCATTCGTGCTACAACTATACCTACTACTACATAACTACATAACTGACTGACTCTACTACGTATAGAATAATTTCTAAAAATACTTGTCCAACCATCCATTATAGCCTTAAGAAGTCCATAGCTCAACATAGTATCCGTAGTAGTATCCCGTATATTGCTTCATAGGGGGAATTTTGCCATAGTTGTCACGCTTGGCAAGCGGCGTTTATAATTTTCAGTTGTTATAAGGAAGATGCTGCAGCCCATCTCCTGTTTCAGGCCACCTCTGTCGCCTCTTACACCCACTAGAACCAGATATAATGTCCTCCAGACCGAGTTTCGGCCACGGCGCCTGCCTCAACGGAGACTAGCCCTATTTTTACCAGACGTTAAAAAAAGTATCTACTATATTTAAATCTCTTTGAATACATCAATGAATAACTGTGTAATAATAAATATTACTACCTTGTTTACAAATTAATCAGTTGCTAGTAATTATTTATATTTTAACTCAGCTAAGATTTAGGTGCCCAGATATCTAATGCTTTGGAGCAGTATATGGTAAATTAAATTATAAAATGAGACTCTAGAGGTCATTTCAAAACAGCCTATAAAAGTTATTCGCAGAAAATGGGTTTCTTCTTACAGCTCCTCTACACGATGGGCCATCGCGATGATCCACTATAATGGGCCAGCGTGTGGAGGGCGTAGTATTGTCGGTAATGGCACCTACGATGGTCTTGGGATGGCGTCATTGTCGGTTTTTCGACCGCACATCAAAGGTAGTCGGCCAGTGATGGCGGTACGCATCTACACGTGGCCCGTTCCATAGTAGTGCATGTTCGACGGTTGAGTGTCTACGTTCGTGCTTTGTTTGTTATTTTACGAATTTCCTTAAAAATAACAAATACACATTATGAAAATAACGGTACTGCTGTATAGATATATTTCCGCAACGGCTAATGCTTCCACGTCCATCTCGAAAAACGTTTCGATCACAACTGAATGTCGCCATCATATAGTTGCGTTTCAACCAAAGCATGGCCATCTCGCTGGGCCAGCGCTGGCCCATCGTGTAGTAAAGTAAGAAGTAAAGTTACAGCCTATATACGTCCCACTGCTGAGCACAGGCCTCCCGCTCATTTCTGAGAGGGTTTTAGGGCAAGGAATTGTCCGCCGCGCTGCCCCAATGCGTGTTGGCGAACTTCACATGTCTTCGAAATATATTTTTTTTTATTTATTTCTCTGACATGCAGGTTTCCTCACGATGTTTTCCTTCACCGCCGAGCACGTGGTAAATCAGCACTTAAAATTGCAATTATCAATTCGAGGGGATCGAACCCGGTTTGCTCGCGTACTGTGAAATTTACAGCGAGCGCTAACCATCTGAGCTACCACGGCTCTCGTGCCACGGCCGTCGTGTAGAGGAGCTATTAAATTTTAAATGGTCTCGTAAGGGAGATATTTGCCATAGTTGCCAGATTTGGCAGGCGGGACGCTACTGCGCTGGTTTGTTGCTGTCTGTCGCCACGACACCCATGGGATGATATGGGATAGTGGATATTCTTACACCAACACTACACCGTCAATCTCTATCAATGATTAGTAGTGACACAAGTTGCGCAACTGTACAAACATTTGTGGCGGCGCTGTCGTCGCGCCACTAGCGAAACACACCGAAGCCTAAATCGCGCTATCAAAATTCCGAATCATAAACAGTATTTATAGAACAGCTCCGAACTATCACTCGGAGCGTTGGCCGCTCCCCGGGCAGAACACCTTGCCCGGCGGATCTCCCCTTTTTCTTCCACGGCCACACATTCATTGCTGCTGGCGTATTTGAGCCTACATCCAGTACCTCGAAAAGGCTACCAATGCATAATGAATAAAGGTGACTACGTTATTTTTCCTCAGCCTTGTTACGTTTGCAACAGCACCGGCCACAACTGCCGCGCTCTTCCTCGCCAGCAAATCAAGATCGAAGAGGAACTAGACCTGACTACAGAGGTTAATGACAACGCCCTAAACGACGGAACAGATATAACTGGTATCTAGATTTTTATAAACTCATAAATAGCACATTGCAAGGATGTTGCTTTCTCTATTTTTCAAGTGAAAACTTCTTTGGCGGCGTTGTCCACTTTTTTGTAATGGGTAAAAATGTTAAACTCGCGTCAGGATACGTGACCTGATCGAAAATTCGTGATTTTTGTGAGAGATAAACTTTTTAATATAATATAAATTGTCATGTTTGCGTACGATAGCGCAATAAATAATTATTTTATTCTACCACATAAATTATAGTACTTTTATACTGATAATTAAAGCAATTCGTGCAAAATTATTCCCTAGGCATTCCAAAATATCAAAAATGCACAACGTTAATATTCAAGTTTTCACTTCTGCCGGCACTCCCGGAGTGCAACCCGTCGTTTTTTTTTTGTAGAATAAGGGTGACAAACGAGCACACAGTCCACCTGATGGTAAGTGTGCCCAATATGGCCAATACACATCTACATTTCACCTCGATTAAGAATCAAAACGAGATAGCCCTGAGGAAGATAAATGTTTTGATTCCAGTAAAACGGGTCTCCGGTTCTCTATAGTCACCATACGAAACACAGCAGCATTAAGCTGCTATTTTACGCTGGTACTCTGTGAGAGCGTTGTACTTCCCCGGTCGAGCCGACCCATTTGTGCTACAACCATAATATAGCTGCAGCGTGGCTCTACTACGTATAAATATTAATATGTTTATTAATATTGCAGTTACAAACAAACTAACAGCCCTTCTTTTATGAAGAATGAAAACGCATAACCGCCTCGTGAGTCCTAAGACGAGAGTTAGTCGGACTAGCATCGGCAAGCATCACTTTTCGGCAGCACCACAGCATCGTTTTCGTACACATATGGGTCCCCACAAGTGCCAGCCGTCACATGGCGGCCTCTCGAAAGAGAACAAATCCTTCCACTGTTTCCCATCAGGATAGACACGTATGAGATAAGGCTTGCCTTCCTCAATCAATATCGTTTTCTAACCCACTTTAAAGATATCTGTGGTCAGATGCGTTGCTTACCTTGGAGACTAAATTGGAATGTTTCACAGCCTGTACTGGCTCTTTATACTGTTCAAACCAGATCCCTGGATAGGATTCTTCCTACCGACTGAAAGCGTGGTGATACCAACTTAGACGAACCAATAGGCTGAAATAGAGTTCTACCATACCACTTACAAAGATCGTTTGTCTCACTTGTTATGTATATGAAAAAGTAGTTTTTATAAAAAAGAAAAGGAAGAAGTTGTTAAATACCAAATTAAGTTTTCTATTATGTTATATAATAAGGGCCTAAATACGAACTCACTGTCCATCTGATAGACATTCACATTTATCCTCGATTAAGAATCAAAATACAGATGCGTTGTTACCCCTGAGAACTAAGATGAAATACCTCTTTTCCAGTTAAAAGGGTATCTGGTTCACTACACTCACCATACGAAACACAGCAGCATTAAGCTGCTATTTTACGCTGGTATTCTGTGAGAGCGTGGTCCTTTCCCTATCGAGCCAACCCATTTGTCTATAACCATAATATAGCTTCAGACAGAGACGTTATTCAGATGTTAAACAGATCCGTTGTCCCTTTGAAGGCTAAAACGGAATGTTTCACAGCCTGTTATAATGGATCTCTTTGTTCTTTCACCGGTACAAAGTAGTGCACCACCCCAAGAACTACTTTTCCTTACCAATAAGATATGGAAAAGAAGTTTTAGTAAAAAAAAAACAATTGTTAGATAAACCTTTGGCTTTATCGACTGTTACTATGCTTTTGTAGCCCCAGAAGAAGAGTATGAAGAACCAAAGGGAGTAGAAGATACCGATTTCGTTCTGTACGTAAGTGCAGTGGAGACTGAAAGGTGTAGACGCGGCTTGACTGTGGCTTATGCATCGCACTGTCAGCAGGAGTCGGCTTTGGACAGGTATGTCAATGAAAGAGAGAGACAGACAGAGAGAGAATGGGATAAAATATTAATGTTTGTTGCTCTTGACTGATACTACTTTTATGGACCGTACGAAACACAACGGCATTCTGCTGTTTCAAGTTGGTACTCTGCGAGAGCGTAGTCCTATCCTAGTCGGACCGCCCCATTCGTGCTGCACCTAGACACGTATAGCTACAGCGTGGCACTTCCACGTGAAACACATACATTTGTTTTAAAATAAATAACCTTTAATAGACAACTACTCCCACACGCTTTATCTTTTTTCCTTTATTATTCTTTACATCCTATTGAGGTCCACTGCTGAACGTAGGTATCCCCATAAATTGCTTCATAAGGTTACGTGCCATATTTACCACATTTTACAGGCGGGTTTGGCAACCGCAGTTTTTATTATTATTGGTTTTCTTTTCAGGAAGACCCTGCAGCCCATCTCTAGTTTCACTTTGTAATATAAGAAAGGTGTTAAGGGGAAATATAACCTCAAATGGCTTAGCAAGATCCTCCGTCATGCCGAAAGTATTGCAGCATAAATTTTGAAATAAATATATGGTAAAGTTGAGGATTAATGTTAAGGACTATGTTGGACGACAACACGATTCCGTAAATTTTTCTCGATAGAAAAAAAATCCAAAGTTACCTCCAAAATAAACACTAAACCGCTGTTATTCGTAAAATACTTTAAATAAGATCATGATACTTTGCATACTAACTGAACTAACTGTAAAGCAGTGCTTATGTTATTTACATTTTTTAAAATACCATTATTTTCACTGTAAATAGAAATTACCTAAATTATCGGCGTTTTGAAGCTTGATTCCTGTCGCCCCGTTAGTATCGCTTAGGCTTTTGAAGGGAGAAGTTGTGTCGCTTACGATCAGAATACACATTACGCAACAGGACGACGTAAAATTAAAAAGGGGAAATAACCGTGATAAAAATAAGAAGCAACTGGGTTGGCGTTAAGAAACAGGCATAAATAGTATGATAAACCCAATGAAATAAGTGTCTAACGACCTTTCTACTTACACTATTAGTGATTACAAACATGTCGGTACATAGCATACGACGCGCGGGCAAGTGGGGGCGACATTAGAATTTGAGCTGACTTACTATATCCCTTAAATGAAGGGGGAGCGTGTTTTTCTGTTTAAGACTTTATACTGTTGTAAATTTTTTTTTGCGCCCAGAAACAAAATAAAGGGCTACCCTTCGGGAAGCGGGGGAACGAGGTGGTGAATGCTCTAAGCATACCACGCAGCCGGCTGCGTGGTTATGTGGAACTCACTATGAAAACCTAAGTGCCTACCCACTAAACACCACCTGGAACTGGCTTTGGCCGAAGGGCCTTTCTATCGTATCGAAAGCGACCCGCCTTGGGGAAAAGGGGGCGCAGTTAAACTTATTCTTCCTTAACACTAATATACACTGTCCCGAGGGACTCACTACAAATTTACTTGTCTTAAAGCATAAAATTATTGCGTTTGTTGTTCTTACTCTAAGTCCATCTGATGGTGAGTGGCTAATTCGGCTAATGGAAAGCTGTAGCCATCTTTAAACAGAAAGGAACTAATGATTGAAGGCTTTAAATCTCCCGACACAGTTCACCTGATGGGTTCGGTTTGTAGTCACATAATTCTATCCTCAATTAAGTTTCAAAATGTAGATGCGTTGTCACCACTGATGTTTTAAATCTAATGACTTTTTGTAACCTTACATAATTGAAATATTTTGTCTTGTCTAGGATAAAGGTCACAAACGAGCACACAGTCCACCCGATGGTGAGTGGATACCGTGGCCCATAGACATCTACATTTAACCTCAATGAAGAATTAAAATACGGATGCGTTGTCAGCCTTGAGGACTAAGATGGAATGCCTCGATTCCAGTAAAACGGGTCTCCGGTTCTCTACACTCATCATACGAAACACAGCAACATTAAGCTACTATTTGACGCTGGTATCCTGTGACAGCGTGGTCCTACCCCGCTCGTGCCGACCTATTCATGCTGCAATCATAATAGCTGCAGCGTGGCTCTACCACGTATAAAACACATACAATACTTCTTCCAGACCTGTAGCGGGCCATGCGAACTTCTGTCCTGGCGAGCTGTCCACCAACTACAGGGACTTACCTTCCGTGCTGTCGACTGTGAAACATGAGATGCTGCACGCTCTTGGCTTTAGTGTTTCGCTATTTGGGTTCTATCGGTGAGTATGTGTGCGAAAAAGAGAGAGAGAGAGAGAGAAAACATGAGAAAGAGGGAGAGAAAAGAGTACCGTACTAAGTACCATTGCTATATTCGTACTTGATTCTTGGTAATTAAAATTGGAAAATAGAAAACTTAATATGTTTATTAAAAATGTGACATAAGTAATTACTAATACTTTTTATTATTTTTGTTATGTAATATCGAAATAACTGCCTTTTAGCTGAGAGGATTATCCCAATGCCATTAAGGACAAAGAATTAGTTTTAAATTTTTGAAGTAAAATCTTCTTTACGTACGCTTGACTTGGAGAGTAAGCTGGCGAACGCGTCACAAAGGCGTTACGAAAAGTGTGATCGGGCGAGGCGAACGGGAGTTGAGTGGGGGATATAAGCAAGTGAGAGCAGTGCGTACATTTTCTTTCTCTCATAGACAGTTATTTTTCGTAATGTTCTTTCGTTTTGAACAATTTTATGAATTAATATTTTCTTCAACTCATTAAATATTCTACGTTTGAAGTGAATAAAATTGTAAAATCATTTTAAAGTTCATGTTTTGTGAATTTTCGGGTGATTAATAACAAATTATGGAAGGAAGCCGAAAATAAATTTAAACATTTGTAAACATATATGTACATGTACGTATATGTACATGCAGATGGGAGCTAAAGAAGTTTTACTTCATGCGTGTGGTCATAAGCACACTCGTTTTTCTTTTTGTTTTTCTGACTGTCTGTCTGTCTTTGGCATTCCAAATCAGAATTGTTTGTAATGAAACTTTACAAACACAGCAATGTCTTTGATCTAGGCGAAAAATATGGAGAGTTATTTGAAACATCGAAAAATTGTATATTTTAAATCTAGATATTGCTACATTTGTAGATCCTATCCTACCCAGGCGACGCTGGGACAGGTCGCTGGTAATGAATTAGAATCAAAGTTAACATTGGTTACCAGACGTTTAGCACATTTTAGTCTAATGCCCATCGTTGTTGAGTATATTTTCGGAAGTTTCATTCTGGTCTTTACGAGGAGGTTGCATTTTTGACAGAGAAGTACTGGTTGAGTATGTGGGCTCTTAAAAATTAAATACAGAAGCGTTGTCACTCCTCTGGAGTAAGATGGAATACCCCATTTATAGATGAAAGTGTCTCCGGTTCCTCTACACTCACCATACGATATATGGGGCAACATGTGTCGCTCAGTTTCGCTGCGGTGCATTTCCGCCTAGTGTGGTCCTACCTTCGCCTTTTTCATATCGCGAGTTTGACATGTCATGTAGCCATATTCTTTGCTTTTTTCTTGCCTATTCTTTCTCGACCCTTTCCTCTTCTGCATACAACTAGGTCCTAGTTACTAGGATATAATAATCATATCCATTTTATCGTTCATCTTGCTCAGAGTTTGCTTAGCTGCTGAATATATTTTTGTAGCGCCGCTGTAGTTCAAGCGCCGGTTACCAAAAAATTATGCATCGTTTCGCTCAGTTCCGCTACGGTGCAGTTCCGCCTAGTGCGGTCCTACCTTTAAGCTGCTATTTCACGCTAGTATTCTTCATTTAGAAATAAATAACTAAATAATCCCTAAATAGGGATATTTTCCATACCACGCTTGGCAACCGCAATTAATTTTATAGTCGTTACTAGGAAGACACTGTTGGCCATTTAATATGTTTCCCTCTGTAGCTTCTGACTAAATCCACGGGACGACATGATGTAGTGGATATTCTCACATCGCACCGCCACAACACAGTGAAACGTTACCTGTACGGCGTCATAAAAATTGACTTTTACATACTAATCTTATAACCTAGGTGCATAGGTAAAATATATACTTGTGTCTTCTCCAGGGACGATAATGGAGAACCGCTGACCGAAAGGCGAACCGATACCGGGGACCCGCCATTGGATGAAGAGTAAGTAATTTTTCTTTTTTTTTTCTGTAACTTACCATCAAGTAACCTGCAACCAACTTCACACAAAGAATGCTATATATGCGTTGTCACATAATGTTCTGAATTAATTAATAAAATACATAAGAAAGGTACAATTCCTTACTATTTCGCAAATATAAAAAACAAAACAAAACGTAATATTTTAAATGAAAAATCTGGGGTTCAATTGGATATAATAGAGAGTGTGAGTGACATAAAGGAACCTATAAAGTTCAAAAAAGGAACTATCCCATTTTATTTTCCAATCATAGAAAAAAACAGTTTATTTCGAAATTAAGGCATTAGACATCTGTAGAAACAGTATTTTAATAAATGATAAAATACATAAAATAGGAAATTCCTATATGCGAGTATTTCACCAAAACATAGCAGGATTACTAGGAAAATTAGATTTACTTGAGGCGTGCATCGCAGAATTTAATTACTCTAAAGAACCAATAGACGTGATTTGTCTAACAGAAACATTCGTAAAAAATGGAGATGAAGAAAACGTAATTTTTAAAAACTTTAAACTGGCTGCCAATTTCTCAATAAAACAATCAAAACGTGGTGGTGTGTGTATTCTTGTAAAACATAATTTCAAGTATCGCATCTTAGATTTTTTACAACCGTTTTCGAAGGAAATTGAGTTTGAATGTTGCGGTATAGAATTGTCTGAACAAAAATGTATTATTATTTGTATTTATAGAACACCAAACTCGGAAATAAGTACATTTTTTACGAAACTTGATGCTTTATTACATAAGCTACGTGAAAAAATAAACAAAAAAATTATAATTGCTGGCGATTTTAACGTAAATATGTTAATTTTGAATAATAAATCTAATAGATTAAGAAGTTTATTAAAAAGCTATGGGTTTCAAATGCATATAACGGAAACAACGAGACAACATACATGTATAGATCAAATGGCAAGTAATATACAAGGAGCTATCGGAAAAGTCCATGAATTAGGTCTATCAGATCACACGGGGCAAACATTAAGTTTTTTGTTAAACGATACAATAAAGTCTCCTGGGCATTATTATATATTTAGAAGACAATACACGGAAAGTAATATTAGCAGTTTCTGCAATCATTTAAAATCATTATCATTCTTGGACGTATATGAGGAGGATAACATAGAAAAAGCATTTACAAAATTTTATGACACGTTTGTACTAATTTATAAGCTGTGCTTTCCCATAAATAGAGTCAAAGTAAATAATTTTGATCAAAAATTAAAATGGATTACAAATGGTATAAGAATTTCCTGTAGAACCAAACGTGCACTTCGCTATAAATATTATAAAAATAAAACTCACGAGAACAAAAATAAATATACACTTTATAGAAATATCCTAAAAAAAACTATTTTACTGGCACAAAAGCAGATGAATCACAAATACGTACTAAACTCAAAAAATAAAACTAAAGCCACTTGGAACCTAATAAAAGAAAATAGTCAGACACATCCAAATCTCATTGATAGACTCACAGTCAATAATCAAAATATACTAAATCCCATTGAACTAGCTACAACATTTAATCAGCATTTCATCTATTCAATTAAAGACAGAATATCACATAATAGTGCGGATAAATTAAGCGTAACTAGTCTAAGAAATCAATCTAGTATTTATTTAAGGTCATGTGATATAACGGAAATTAAGAACCATATTTCATCACTTAAAAACACAAAATCTACTGGCTGTGATGAAATACAAACAAAAGTTTTAAAGAGGTGTCCAGGAAAAATCATAGACGTATTATGTTTTCTCATTAATAAATCGCTTGAAACGGGAATTTTTCCTAAAGAATTGAAATTATCCGTTGTGATAACATTGCATAAAAAAGGTGACAGAAATAATATTAATAACTACAGACCAATTACACTAATATCAATATTATCAAAATTGTATGAGAAAGTTATGCAAAAAAAGACTTTTAGACATTTTTAATAAGTTTAACATATTAAAACCAGAGCAATATGGTTTTCAAAAAGGTAAATCTACGACACTGGCAACTTTTTCCCATATAAAAATCGTAACCGATTATATAAACAGAAAATTACCAATTTCTGCAGTGTACTTTGATATGAGCAAAGCATTTGATAGTGTTGGTCATGATATTCTCTTAAAAAAATATAGCTTATGGTATAAGAGGGCCAGCTTACTCCTGGATACAAAGCTATTTAAAAGATAGAAAACAATGTGTTGAAGTACAACAAAAAGATAAAAAACGGCAAGACATTTTAAAATATAAATCTTCGTACTTACCAAATGATTACGGAGTGCCACAAGGGAGTGTTTTAGGTCCTTTACTGTTTTTAATTTACATAAATGACCTACCAAATTACATCAAACATAATACAATATTATTTGCTGACGACATTTCTATTTTAATACCGAAAATAAATTTTAATTCTAGTAATAAAGAATATGAAAATGAAATAAATAATACTATTATAAATGTTGTTAAATGGATAAAAAACAATAATCTAAGCATAAATCTATCCAAAACTAAATTTATGCAATTCTACAATGTTAAAAGTAAACCGCAATTACTTGATATTAAGTATAATGGTGAAAAAATTACTGCTACTGAATGTACCACATTTTTAGGTATTAGTTTAGACAAACATTGTAATTGGAAAAATCACATAGATAAAGTTTGTTCTAAAATATTTAAATTTAATTTTGCTCTGCGAAGGCTAACTTTAATCTCGTCAAGAAACACTTCTCTTATAGCATATCATGCGTATGTCGCTGCTGTATTAAGATATGGTCTCATATTATGGGGAAACTCGACTGATGTAAACCGTGCTTTTATAGCGCAAAAACGCTGTATACGAGCAATTTGTGGTGTCGGGCCACTAGTTTCTTGCAAACCACTGTTTAAAGAATTGGGTGTTCTTACGCTACCATCCATGTACATTTTTGAACTTTCAATATTCGTAAAAAAGTATCCTCAGTTTTTTACTAGATTAAAGGATACAGTAAGATATAGTACCAGATACCCAGATAAAATTATTTTACCTTCATTAAAAACTAGCCTGTATTCAAAAAATTGCTATGTGATGGCTATTCAAGTGTTTAATAAAATCCCAAATGAAATAAGGCAATTAGATTATAATCGATTTAGACGTAATTTATTAAAGTGGCTTTTAGAAAAACAGTTTTATTCGGTAAATGAACTGCTAAAAATAAAAGAACGTTTCTATTGACAGTAAAATGCTGTTTCTTATCTGATTGTGTTTTAAACGATTAATATTAAGATTGTAAAGTGATGCATGTTTAATTTTACTTAAATTTTTGTATATTCTAACCATAAGTTAATTAGTAAATAAGTTTTCATATACCAAAATTGGTGAAATATGTGAATCATTATTATTTTTATAAGAACATCTTTGTACCATATTTCTTGTGAATAAATTTATTTATTTATTTATTTATTTATAACCTGCAACTATACGGGCTACATATACCCTTCAGACCGGAACACCTGCTGCTTGATAGTAAAAACGTTATATATGTGTTATACCTGCACAAAAAAATGAATAAAATCCGTAGCATTTTGAAAGTCTTTGCCTTGACGTACATTACATATTGACAAAAGAATCATTTGATAACGCACAAAATTAAGTTATAATTATTTGTTGGCAAAATTTTACAATTCTTTGACGACAGTGTCTACTCTCTGTGATTATTTGATCACAGACTGTTATGTGTTTGACTTTGACATCATGAACGTAAGCAATGATTATTTTTATTTAAATTAAATATTTAACGTATTTGTAGCAAAAATATTGTACATAAATTTTAGCTTTCTGCACTTCTCCATATAAACTCCATCTATGCCAAAATTTCAAAGTTTCCCGAGCACACAAAATATTAAAAAAGTGCAACAAAGTTTTCCCCCTCACATATTTATACGAGTATACAAGATTTTTTCTGTACTTTTTAAGAATCTAAAGTCATATACTATTTTATTTCCTTAGTCTTCACTGGGTATTGATATTATACAAAAAAAAAAAACCGTTACATGACAAAGATCGCACCTGCATTGTAATTCTTAATCGGAGTTAAATATAGATGTCTATAGGCCATAACATCAACTGACCATGAGTTAGACTATGAGCTCTTTCTCACGCTAACTCTTATTCGTGCATTCTTAAGCGTGATGCAAAGATAGCAAACCAGGTTGTGTCAAATTCAGGTTTGTAGAATATTTTTAGCGAGCTACTTTAAATCTTAAATAACACTTAACTTTACTCTACTACTTGACTAGCTAGTGTAATTAATAAATGTAAATAATAAAATACGTAACGTCCAATAATTTGTCCGTATGTTGTTAAATTCTTTTGTGATAGTCCAATTCAAAAGGGACCTTATGGCGGCAGGTGTTAACGTCGCACCGATTCACTATTCTATTCAAACAACAGCAATAAAGACGTAACTGGTAAGGCCTATCAGATGTTCAGTATCAAACATAGACCTCCCAGATTCAGATTTACCCATTATGCATTATGCCATAGTTGTCACACGTGGCAGGCTGATTAGCAATCGCAGATTTTTCGGTCGATCAGAAAGATACTGCTGTCAAGATGCTCATCTCTTGGGTTGCCTTTCTCCGTCGCATGCGGGACGATGTAGTAGTGCATATTTTTACCCATCTCCTACGCGGTAGAACTTACGTAAATAAGATAAATACTTTTCAGATTACAGATCCACAAGTGGTCGTCTCGAGTTGTCAAAAACATCACTCGCAAGAACTGGATGATCAGGGGAGGGTATATGGAGCGGACCTTCCATATGATCGTCACACCTCGGGTCGTTAAAGAGGTCAGTTACTATAATAATAAAGAATAATGTTCTCCAGACCGAATTTTAGACACGACGGCCAGTCTTAACGAAGACTATCCAACTGCGCAGGTCAGAATTATAGTGCACGAGTGTATGCGCAAGCACTGGAGCACTCTTTATTATCTCTTATAATTCGATGGAACGAACCCACTCTCATAATCTGACTCGACCAAAGAGAGATCAGACCCCTACCAATGGCTTTACGTGCTTTTCAAGGCACGAGGGATGAAACACTAACGCCAACTTCCTGGCTTCAGGCTGGTACTGAGAATTTCTCGACAGAGAATCTTATTTGTTTTTATTAATCTGACGGAACCTCATGTTTAGCAGACGGTAGCACCTTTAACGCTGCTGTACGTCACCGTTCTAAATATTTTACGTTTTGTTATAGCGCCATCTATCGAAAGCCATGAAATCACTGGTATTTCCCGTAGTTATCTTACGACACCTACGGTATATGATAAAGATGTGTCTTTTCGTCCTTCAAACGAATGCATTAATTCATTTATAGAATGAGAGTGACAAATGAGCACACAGTCCACCTGATGGTAAGTGGTTGCTGTGGCCCATAGACATCTACGTCTACCCTCGATTAAGAATCAAACTGCGTTATCGCTCTGTTGCAAATATGGAATGTCTCGTTCCCAGTAAAAAAGGTCTCCGGTTCTCTACACTCACCATACGAAACACAGCAGCGTTAAGCTCCTGTCGAAACGACCCATTCGTGCTACAACTATAATGGTGTATCTATTTATTTACACACACATTTTAAATAGCCATTTACATATGTATATAAATAACTCTTTATACAGTTAAGTTTATCATACACAATCTATAGTATTCATGTATATATTTTATTTACTACGCACTGCATACTTATTTATTATCACTTATATTAGTATTTTATATTATCAAGTCCCGTACGTGGAAGGCACTCTTGTAGAACCGGTTCCCCGGTCGACCAGCCGCGGTGCATAGTTTAGAAGACGCGCCAGTTAGCAACGAGACCTTTATGCGTGTAAAAGCGCAGGTCGCTCCTTGCTCCGTCGCTCGATTGTTAACATACAAATTTGATCCGTAAATATAAGTAGTGGAAGACTGTTATCCCATAAGTTAATTTTATTATTGAACTATTAATATTATAATATATATATATGTTATACTATATACAGCATGCCTCTATTACAAATTAAATACAAACTTACATTACACACAGGTCCGGGAGCACTTCAACTGCTCGAAGCTAGAGGGCGCTGAGTTGGAAGACCAAGGAGGTGATGGAACTGCCCTCACGCATTGGGAGAAGAGGGTTTTCGAGGTAATTTTTTTTTTAATTTGTTATCAAAAAATTGCCTCACACAACTTTTGATGAATTAATTTTTTTTTTAGTTTTATAACTAGGTGTTTACACTGAAGCAGCGACGAACTAATTAATAATAATAATAATTTCTTTATTCAGGAAAAAATTGCTCAATAACCCTCTCAGAAATGAGAAGTAGCCTGTACCCAGCAGTGGGACAGTGTACAGTTTTTTTTTTTAAATGGGATAGGATAAACTGACACACAGTCCACCTGATGGTAAGTGGTTGCTGCGGCCCATAGACATCTACATCTATACTCGATTGCGAATCAATATGCAGATGCGTTGTTTGCTTGCCACCATGTGTGCTGTAACATGGGTAACCGATTTTCTACACTCACCAAACACAGCATTGGTATTCTGTGAGAGCGTGGTCCTTTCCTCGTTGAGCCGATTTGTTCATAATTATACCTGCAACAGCTACAATATTGCTGCCGGCTGCAACATGGCCTCCAATAGCCATGAGATTCTTACTGACGTTTTCCACACTTCAACTTTGTAATCCATTAATTTTTCAGCGATCAACATTGAAACTTTATTTCACTTCCAGAACGAGGCTATGACAGGGACGCACACTCAAAACTCAGTGTTCAGTCGGATCACCTTCGCAATGATGGAGGACACGGGCTGGTATCGCGCGGACTATTCCCACGCTGCCCCTTTGTATTGGGGGAAGAACTTGGGCTGTAGATTCGCGATGGCCTCCTGCAAACAATGGCTGAACACTCAAAGGTTGAGGTATTTACTGTTTATTGTGCTTTGGTTGGGATTTCATGCAGCTGTTGGTGTACATTTATTAATAATTAAGCGAAGTCGTACGAAGTCATGTGAGGTCGTACGAAGTCATAAAAGGTCTTTCGAAGTCATGCGAATTCGTAAGAAGTTACGTGATACGAAGTCAAATTAAGTCATTTAAATCATACGAAGTCATTCGAAGTGGTACGAAGTAATACAAAGTCATTCCAAGCCGTGGGAAATCACCGTTAAGTTTTATTAGGGTAATATATACGCGACAGAAGTAACAGCGAAGGAATGTTCAAAAGCTTATAGTAAATGAGGGATTTAATAACACTATTTTTGCCACTAGAGCAGTGCCAATTTGGAATTGAATTGAATTGAAATTTCTGCATGAAATATTTGACAGAATTCATGCAGGTAAAGTTAAATTAGGGTCGATGCAGATGCAAAGGTAAAACCTTTTGCTAGCATCATGAACGGAGCGGAGTAAAAGTCTAAAGTCATAACTATCTTTATTTCAACAAAAGATTCAATCAAATGGTGTGACATTGCGCAGATGTAAATTAGCGAATTGATTAGATAGTAAAAGAAAAAAATATCAAATTCAGATTTTTATTGTTTACAAACCTTGTCTGCGTTGAGCTACAAATATTGCCGAAAAAATTATGTAAATTGGCCTACGGTTTACGGAGGAGATAGATGTCAAAGAATCGTTTCCTTGCGCCATAGGAGCTTCGCTCCAATCAAGGTAAAGTTAAGCATAACATCAAATGTTATTTTCTAAAATATTAGTTCTATGGACATAAAATTAATAAACCAAACTTCGAATATTCCTCAAAGTAAAAGATTGAAACAAATGTGCAAACATTTTAAAGGCATAAATCTAAATGACCCACATTAAAAGTTCTCACCCAGGCGTGGCCGGTGTGGGTCGTTAATACAATCTAAAAAAAGTCTAAATAACATAATTTTACTAAATCCATATGAAAGTATATACGGTACTTATAACAAAAACACTATTTTTAAAGTTTTTGTCTGACGTCTGTTTGTGCCGGCTAATCTCTGAACGATTTTGACGGGACTCACTGGCGGAGAGCTGATGTTATAAAGAGTAACTTAGGCTAATTTAATTTTAAAAAAAGAAATGGGGTTCCTCACAAAAAAATTAAAACCCTAAACTACACGCGGGCGAAGTCACGGGGAACAGGAAAAATGTGTGTTCAACGAATCGACACGATTGTTTCATAGTAATGTTACGAGCTTGGTGTTCGTCACAATAAAAACTGCTGATTGAATTACCAAAATTGACACTTGAATTACCGAACGCCAATTACAACTTAAAACACTAATAATAAAACAAAAATTGCAGTTATGTCTCTTCGAAGTATTCGCTTGAATTGCTAATTCAATGCTGCCCCGGTCGCGGTCCACAACGGCTTTATATAAGCCCTCTTTTACTGAAACATCTAGAAAGTTCGAGTACATACCGGTCCCGACTGAATAGGTGTAGAAAGTTCTAGTATGGACTTTTTCAGAAGGATTAGTTCTGTTACTCGATACTAGATGGCGCTAGTGCCATGTACCAGGTATTAATTATGGCGCGCAACAGTAATAATTTATAGGCCGGAGAGAGACTTAGGCTATTTTTCATCCCAGGAAAATGCACGATTGCTGTGGGATAGATCTGGAGTGTGATTCTGTAACTACCTTTTTATGCTGTCCGAAAAACACATTACCCGTGGTTTTTTTTTCGTATGATAGCCAAGCCGCAAGTAATGCGAGTAAAATATAAATATGTTTTAACTATTGATAATTGTCAAACTAGTTTATATAGGGAAACGCAAAAAAAAGGGGAAAGGGTTGGGAGGGTTATAGCAGTTTTTGTGTGGTGTTTATGTATTATATAGTATAACTAACAATATACTGTGTGTTTTTGTTTTGTTTGTGAGTTTGTAAATTTTTGCGTTTAACATGTCTGGCTTTTTTTCTAATTTCAAGCAACACTACGGAGAACTCGACACTTGAGTAAGTAATTTACATATCCTAGTAACATCCTTGAACATTAGCGTTTTAAAGTTTTTTTTAATGCAAAAACACAAACAGTTCGTTTTCGGATCTATAGTCACCCATCTATCTAATAGTTTTTAAGTGAAATAATAGTGACCGACATGTGGGGTGCTGTCGACCGTAATTATATCTTTAGTCGTCTCTGCAAACGGGTTCATCCCAGTCACCCTCTCGGGTCATCTGAGGCGGCTGGGACTACGTGACGGACCGCTCCGGGCTCAAATACAGAAGGCGGTGCTCCACGAAACCGCCCGTATGGTCCGCCGGTTTCTTTCCCTTTCCCCCTAACCCTCGGCCGTTTGGTCTCCCCTGCCGAGGGCCTCCATCTGGTTGGGCTTTTATTTATTTATGTATTATTTATTTATTTATGTTAGTATATTATATATATATATATACATACATATTTATTATTTCCTTTTATATATTTATCCAGCCTAACCAGATGTGAATACTGTATCAATAACCCCAATAATAATAATTTCTTATTTCAGATGTCAAAGATAAGTTACTAGAATGGCTTAGATTAGGTTAGTAATTAAGAACATTAAATAAAATCGAATAAAATCAAATCTAAGCCCAAAATGAAATCACAATAAAATCTAACTAAAAATTATAATCATATAATAGTAATGTCGAAAATAAAATATATTTAAATACAATCAAACAAAAAATCCGCGAAGGAGCCGCGGTAGCTCAGATGGTTAGCTCTCGCTTTAAATTTCACAGTACGCGAGCAAACCGGGTTCGATCCCCGCCGGCACCAATGAAATTGTTAATTGCAATTTTAAGTACTGAGTTACCATGTGCTTGGCGGTGAAGGAAAACATCGTGAGGAAACCTGCATGTCAGAGAAATAAGACATAAAAATATTTCGAAGATATGTGAAGTTCGCCAACACTCATTGGGGGAGCGCGACGGACACTTCCTTGCCCTAAAACCCCTTTTAGAAATAAGGGGAATAGAGGCCTCTGCCCAGCAGTGGGATGTGTATATAGGCTGGAACTTTAAACAAAGAATATAAATAAAAATTTATCGAAGTCAAATAATGTCAACTAAATTAAATACTATCAAAATAAAATAAAATATCAAAAATAAATTCAAATGAAGTCAATTTGGATTTAAATTAATGATATGTGGTAGTGATCTTACACAGCCACTACACTGTCTAGACTGTGTATCTCTGGGTTCGAATCTATAGTGAGATTGTGTAACTTTGGTGGGGGGTGGGTGGGGATCGTTTGCTGATGGTTATTTAATATACAGTTGAAATGAACTATGAATTGTTAACCGAATCCTAAGTATTCTTAAGTCGCCAGAATCTATTGTAAATGTGGCACTAATGTGAAAAGATGCTGGTTTCTAAGATGCAGCTATTACAACTATTTTAGAAGCCAGGGCTCCATTTAATTGTTAAAAGATTTGTGGCAAATAAAAAATAAACAATTTATTGGGGTATCTATATAATTTTCTCACCTGGTTGGGTTCTATGAATATATAATTATAAATTAAAATGAAAAGATAAATATACATAAATGTCAATAAAATAAAATAAATACAAAAACTATATAAATAAATAAGATCTAAACAGATGGGAGCCCTCGGCAGGGGAGACCAAACGGCCGAGGGTTAGGGGGAAAGGGAAAGAAACCGGCGGACGATGCGGGCGGTATCGAGAAGCACCGCCTTCTGCATTTGAGCCCGGAGCGGTCCGTCACGGAGTCCTCAGATGATCCGAGAGGCTGACTGGGATTAGCCCGTTTGCAGAGACGACTACAGGAATAATTTCGGCCGGCATACCACCCACATGTCGGTCACCTCGTGAGCCAGGTCCGGATATTTTGTTCGTTTATATGTAATTATTATATAAATAATTATATAATAATAATTTATTATTATTATGGGGTATCTATATAGTTTTCTCATCTGGTTGGGTTCTATAAATATATAATTATAAATGAAAATGAAAAAAATAAATATACATAAATATCAATAACATAAAATAAATATAAAAGTACATAAATAAATAAAAGCCCAACCAGATGGAGGCCCTCGGCAGGGGAGACCAAACGGCCGAGGGTTAGGGGGAAAGGGAAAGAAACCGGCGGACGATGCGGGCGGTATCGAGGAGCACCGCCTTCTGCATTTGAGCCTGGAGCGGTCCGCCACGTAGTCCCAGCCGCCTCAGATGACCCGAGAGGCTGACTGGGATTAGCCCGTTTGCAGAGACGACTACAGGAATAATTTCGGTCGGCAGACCACCCCACATGTCGGTCACCTCGTGAGCCAGGTCCAGATATTTTGTTATATTTATTATTATTATTATTATTATTATTATTATATTATTGTTAAATATTGATCATGTGTAGTGGCGGTGTAAGCTTAGCCGCTATTCCCTATCGTGCCTTGGATGTCGTAAGATTTGACAGAGGGATGGAGAGGGGCACAGTGTTGCCAACCTGCCTGCCAACAACCTGTTACGGTGACAATTTTATTTCCTGGGGTTTATCTGTAACAATGCGATAATGTTTTACCAAATTCTCAAGTAGTTTTTATAATATTGTACACTCGGCAGTCGTGCTGTAGTACGATATGACTGCATGAAGCGAGCGTGAGCCACGCTGCAACTATATTATAGTTGTAGCACGAATGGGTAGGCTCGACCGGGGAAGGACCACGCTCTCACAGAATACCAGCGTGAAATAGCAGCTTAATGCTGCTGTGTTTCGCATAGTGAGCGTAGAGAACCGGATACCCTTTTTTACTGGAAAAGAGGCATTCCATCTTAGTCATCGGGTGACAAAGTATCTGCATTTTTTTTTGGTTCGCAAATGATGGTAGATGTGATGTCTTGGGCAATCCACTTATCATCAGGTGGACTGTGTGCTCGCTTGTCACCATTTTACTATAAAAAAAGAAAAACTATCGTATAGGAG